GTCATACGTATCTGACTGATAACTCTAAGTTGGTGGTAACGCTGACGAAAACTCCTTTTTACCTGATGTCAGGTTTCAATAAAATCTCACTCATTTGGATTAGTCAGGCACTTATGACTAAAATCTCTAATCTAACAACCAGGCGAAAAAGAACTTGAACGTATACAAAACAAGCTTCAAGCCACATTGGAAGATTTCAAGGAAGTTGTTGATTATTTTCAGTACACCGGAGAAGGAGAAGAGGTAAATCTGCCTTTTGTTTAAATTGTTTTCTACGTTATTGTTATTATTTACCTCCATCGTGAGTGATACCTCAAAATATTCACTCGATGAGAAGGGCAAACACAAAAGAGGCAACAATGATATGAAGCAAACAAAGGATGGCAAAAGATTAAGAAAAATTAGACAGCTTTTGAATGACAAACTTGTTAAAATGTGGGCTAAGTTTTTCAAGACGAACAAACCATGACATACCTCTTTAATGTGTCTTAATAGTGTTTTTGCTTCGTTTTTTTCTTGTTTTTCAGGTTACTCCGCCTCTATTTTTCGGTATCTGGGGGAACTTCTTGGAGATTTTCAAGAATTTTTGGAAGGTAAGTAATGTCGCGCATTATAATTGGACGAGACTTTCACGGGGGTCAGTTACCAGTCTCCCACTGAACGTTGGGAGTTATTTTTAATCCTGACATCTAAAAATGTATGTTAAAGAATACGAAACCTAAAATCCATAAAATCATATTTCCCATAATGTGCGCTTCTTTGGTGAAGTTGTCACACTTCAGTGTGCCTGTAATTTCTCATTTCCGTGTGGTAATACTAATGAGCTTTGATATCACTAAAAGAAGGTCGCACGTCCAGTCATCTTTCCTTTTCACAACGTGTTTTGGAGTAGTTTGTTTTCCTTCTGTCCTTGTGATTTTTTTGGGACATGATGTTTAAAGCACTAAAGATAACCAGACAGCTAACATTAAACGTAAAATGTGCAAGAAGCTAGCTATTCTCTGATATGGTACAATCTTCATTGGATTTTTTAACATTTTGATTATTTTCTTCGTACTCTTTTTTGCTGTTACAATGTTCCAGTAATGTTTCCGAGGTGTCCCTGAGCTGCTGACCTGTTTTAACAGTTCGAAACCTGTGATAGTTACTAACTCACCCGACTGCATTTGGTTTTAATGCTAATGGCTAATATTGGGCAATTGCTTTCGAAATATTATTGCGCTAACATTGCTTCTCTCTTCAGCCTGATACGGGAGAGTCCGTAGAAGCTAATGAAAAACCAGTACAGATGACTAAGGTAGCTCAAATTAACACTTGAATACGACTTAACTTTAAAAACTGTTATAAAAATTTTAACAAAAAGTTACTGGATAAAGTCCGCTGACAACAAACGGTAATCGAATAATTATAAACCTAAATTAAAACTGAAATGCAATTTCTTTTGCGCGGTGCTGCTTGATCTTTTGGCATATACTTTAAAACGATATGAATTTATCAATACAAAGGCCAATTGTCTTCCAGAATATCGCTTTAAAGTCTTACGAACTTTGTTTTGATTAAGATTTAAACACTAAATCTACATCAAAAAATTAAATGTTACTTGACTGGAAACTTGAGATCCGAGCTTTTAACAACCAAATGAACTAAATAACACAACTACGATCAACTTTGAGTCAACGTGTTTGGTTTTTTTTGTTTTTTTCTTTTTTAAAGGCTGAGCAGATCAATCTTTCGAAAAGGTCCTTCTGTAATGCAGAACATCTTAAACAGGTAAGTTATGACTACTTACGGGTAAGAATTAAGGGGAAAGACACTTCCTATAAGAATGATGTTTGGAACAGTGCTATTAAAAAAAAAATGACATCGTACCCAGATCCTACCATATGAACCGCTTAGCCTTGGAAGGTCTGGGTACGAGACTAGACAACTACATTTACTTTCATATTGTCCAGAGACACCCCTCCCTCAGACAGCACAATAAAAGAAAAAACACTGGTTTTGATTTAAGTTTCTTTTAGCCTTTGTGGTACTCATTACTGTTCTCACCAGAGCCTTAACATTTATTTTTCAGATTAGAGCAACGGCATCCAAGTTCAAGAAACGTCGCACCAGCGACTCGAAAGATCCTAAGCGCAAAATATCAACTCCATAAGAAATTATCTCCAACCAGCGCACTTTTATACACTGCAGACATAGATAATTGATATGCAGATAAAGACGAAGTATTTATCGGCAGATTTCAGATGAACATTATCCGAGATGCATAAAGCCTCTGTTTTAAATCGAGGCTAAGCGCAAAGCTTTACTATATCTTTTATCACGCTTTCGTAACAAACGGGGGGTCAAATACACCTTTGGCCGCAACCCCCCCCCCATTCAAGCCACACCCTTACGTCAGGTAAGGTTTCAAGTACATATTACTGTGACTTTTATCAGGAGAAACACTCAGGTTATTATCAAATGACAGTTTCTTATATGTAAATAATATTCATGCGTACCATACATATACCATGATAGTGAAGTTGTATAATCGTTCGAACACTAGTTCAATCACCCTGACAGCACGAGACCTCCGTATTAGTTTTTTGGAGGCTTCGTAAGACCAATTTTCTTTTTAGTGTCGAAACTATTCTGTGATTGCACTGGTTTTGCTCATGTTTTTTAGACTTCATAACTGGACTAGAAAAATCAAAGATTCAAAACTGAAAACCAATAGTGACCTGGTCATTTGCGTTTTCCTGCGTTTTAGGCCGTTAGAAACTTTTCCTTTAATTTCTCAAAAGCTGGCTAAGAAAAGTTTGGTGCCAGCTCTACACAACTTTAATCGATATGCGTTTTAATGCGAAAGCATTCTGCGTATCCCAGCTCTGCAACTTTAGCTAAGCGGAGGCTAATGTAAATACATGAATGAGTTTCGCATTTTTATATTAATTTATTGATAGTGTTGTAGAAACAACATAAAAAAAGACTCAATACTTATAGGTAGAATAGCATATTTAAAATCTTCATGAGCAAAATGATTCATTTAGCCATTTTCAAAGTTAAAGCAAAATTCAGCATCTTGATCGATTGAGAGACCTGAAAACAGGCCTCGGTTTTGTCTTTGCTCAGTACAAATTTCAAAATAGCTACAGCTCATACTTACAAGAGAAACGGTTATATATGAGATGAATGAGCGTTAAATCGTTTGTCTCACGATTGAAGGGTCAGGCTAATCAATCATATATTGATCGTGACGTTTCGACTGCTGTGCTGTTTGTCTTCGTCAATCGACGAGGTCGAAAGTTCACGTGTCGCTAATTGTAAACCTTGGTCTATTGTTATTGGTATGTGATGGTGCGCTGTCACTGAGACGAACGATTAAACGTTCATTTACCTATAAAAACCCCGACGAACGACAAAATTTTGTGTAACAGTAATACATAAGTTATTGCGTGGAGTGTTTTAATGCAGAAATTATAGCAACTTACAGAGCTGAAGACGTTCTTTGTCCATTGTTTGTAGCAAATGTTTTGAAACTTCTCTCTTCAATCGACGACCGCGGTCGACCGAACTCACAATTTACCATTCTGTCTTACACTGTTGCTTTAAGCGGTGCCTTTCTATCTCTTCCGTTCTCTCTCAAAGAGCCCTTCCCACCCAGGGCCGAGCTGTTCTAACACGATCAGTACAACTTTTCCATGGCTTGTATCCATGTTTGACCCGTGTTCATGGCTTGACAAGCAGTCATGACCACAGGTTATATTTTGTGTCATTGAGTCCTTCGTTATACTGAGATAAAACCCTACCAAACGTTAACCCCAAAATACTCCTTATAAAAAAATCAAGCCAAGCCGGTTTAGCTTTGCTTTTGGCTTGAACAACCGACCATGGGGTAAGAATGACCGCTAGTAATTTCCCTGGAGCCCTGATGAAGTTCTGGGGGGCGGGGAGGAGGGCTTAGTATGAAACTAATATTCCACCCAGTGGGAGTAGGGATTCTCCTTGCTCCAAGTTGCTTCATGTTGTAATCGGAATCACCTCCAACAGTATAACTTATGACATCATCTTTTACAAGTATTGCACTAAAATAAAACACTTTTGTCAACCTGAAGAAATCCTGAAAAAGTTTCATGACTGAAAATGGAACTTTTCAAATCTAATTATTTCGGTCGGAAATTCAGTGGGAAGTGATTTTTAAAAAGCATTTCGCATCTTACACTTTGGAAAAAACACCCCCTTCCTCCCACAAGCCACCATTCCCTCTTTCCACAATTCATGCTTAGCCTCAATTCTTCCATTTGGTTGAGGCTTGGCCCCCTGAGCCTGCGTTCCATCGGGCTAGCGGTTTAGTAATAAGACAGCCATGAGGCTATGTAACTAATGTGTGGTCACTTTACTGCGACCATCCATTTAAACATTCTGCTCGTAGTTGGTCAAACGAAAACAAACTTAATATTTTCCTTTTTTCAGTCTTGTAAGCATCATGGTAAACCTCTCGAATAGATGTGATCTCAGCAAAGATTCGACAGAGAATAATGATTTAGTGTTCCCCTTTGTATTTTAAGGATTTAATCACCCAGGAAATTCAAGGTATTTTAAAACATCAAAAGAGCGCTTAAAACTTCCTTCAGCAACACGAAACACTGGCACTGAAAAGTTCTCGGGAGAGATACAAATAAAGACAAACCCATTCCATCAACAGTGTAGCTTCGTCACCGACACATTTCACCTGAGTGTCACAGGTTGCATATCGTGGGTTTTGCATAGAATGCGTCGGTTTATTAGGCTAAATAGTTTGTATTGTGGTAGATAAATCGCAAATGGAGTCTTTTCATGAGTGTTATTTTTTCAAGGCAATCTTTTCAATACTACAGAAAATTTTTCCACTGCACTCTAAGACATCATCGCAAACGTGATGTTTTCGTGCAAAGAAAGTGAATCCCTTTAGAAGCAGAAACACCCCTTAGGCTATCAAGAGTGTTTATCAACGATGTAATTTCATTTCACTGTAATAGAAAATATCACCTGCAAATCTCTTTTCTCTCGATTTGACGCAATGACAGGGAGATAGCTCAATAGCTTTATTTCGTTCCCATAATCCGGCAATACTTGGGGGCTTAAAGGGGAAGCAATTGCGTAAGACGTCGAAGATGTGTCGCGGCCCATTTTAAAGCGATGTTGTTTTTAAAGTCATTTTGAATGATACCATTGCATTTCCCTTTGCGTTGATTGTGGTGGAAATAAAATACAGGATTCTATTCCTTGGAGGTAGCTTTCAAAGGTGACATACAAGCCAGCATACCGACTCTTTTCTGAGAAAGTTGAACGCTTTAGTACTTTCATCGCCGCATACAATTTCAAAGTTCGAGGAAACATATGGTCCACTTAATTGACAGCTATCATTTCGCAAGTTATCATTCTTTCTTGAGTTGCATTTACGTTTGGTGTTAGTTTTCGCTGACGTGCGTAAATTTCTAAGAGAAATATGCCGCCTATTAGCATCAGTGATTCCTGCTCTGTTACGTTTGTTTATTTTTTCTCATACATTACGGTAATGAGGTCTGAAATCTGATTGGTTCTCAGCGCGGTCCGGATTTTCCTGTCTCCGCCCACGGGAACAGTAACACTTTTGTGAGTCGCCAAGTACATCCTCAGCTTTCCTTTGCTTCGTTGCCATTTCTCTCTCTCTCTCTCTCTCTCTCTCTCTCTCTCTCTCTCTCTCTCTCTCTCTCTCTCTCTCTCTCTCTAATCACTTTGGTGGCCAACAAAAAATGGTTTCGCAAAAGGATTTGTGGTCGCAAAATTTGTCATTCAATGAGTTGAAACGCGACCTTAAAACCGTTTGTTATTGATATTGATAATCACAAATAGTAACTCAGAAAGTTAAAACGAGAGGTATTTGTTTACAATTGGATTAATCGATGGAACTTTCATTCATTTAATATCTGAATTCTCCCAAACAATTTGTTGGTTGTAAAGCGATGAGCGAAGTTTTGAGTTCTATTACGAAAACATTACTGGTAAATCTTTTCAAGTCCGATGACTGAATTTGGACATTTGTACTGAGCGCAGACTTCGGGCACAGTTTTTCCTAATACAGACCTCCTGGCTGGTGACTAATATATACACGTATCTATGTGTATATACATATATTGTATTTGTGTTGGGTTTTCTAGAAATAGAAGAAGAGGACCCCGCAAAAAATGAATTACGCTCAACCCAAAGTATCTACTACTTCCTTGCACTGCTGAAACGCAGTTGCTCCGTTCCAAAAAAAAACTGAACAAAGAAAAAGCTGAATCATAATTTAACAACTTTTCCAGACCAAATGCAAATAACAAGGGAGAGAGTGCAGCTGCCCATTCATTTGCTAAAAACCGCATCCTGTATTCAAAATTCTGAGGAAACAACTAAATAACTCCTCGTAACTGTATTGTTTCACCCCAAAGTAAACATTCATAAACTAGAGCGATGAACAAAGTTGCAAATCGAAAGTAAAAATAACAGTTTTTGAGACATGTTTTAAGAGGTTACTTTGGAAATTACGTAATATGCATTCTCGCCGTGAAGGAAATGACATAAATTGTACACACTTTTCGAAATAAAACGCGAAAACGACATCGAAAGCAGAACAACGCTTTGCTATGGAGCTAAACTTGAGTGCATGTCCATTTCTCATGCCGTGATAAAATTTACGTTAAAAAGAGAGAGAAACAGAAGCTAATGTCGGTAATGCCACACGCAGAATCAGTTACTGAATACTTTTTTTATCAACGATGAGGATAATCGCGAATCAAAACATGATTTCATCAGTGCTTGCTGCACGTAAACCATTTTTTTTTTAAGCGTTCGTTTGATGTTCCTGTAATCACACACTGACGAATTATTAAAAACGATCGAATTTCTTTTATGTAAAGCTAATTGGTAGGCATGGCGATTGAAAATATTTTGTTCTGCCTGAGGATCATCTTCAAGAACATGACAACATGAGGGTGCATATCATATAATTTACATGTTTCCACTTTTGTTTCTGGGGCATTCGACTGAAATGAGAAACTTTAAACATTCACAATTGTAGGTATAAAAAGCGACAAGTTTTTTTCATTTACATACTCGCTTTTTCCCCTTTTTTCCTTTTCAATTTAAATCTTACCTAGGACAAAACACTACACGAAATATACACATGTATACGATGTTCAATTACCCGCCGTAAAACTACGAGACGTTTCGACTCTTTGGCTTTCCGAATTTGCGTTTTTCTTTTGTCTATCACGTTTCATTTCCCGTGATCAGCGCCGACTGATCGGCAACTTCTGTCCAAGCGATTAATGTCGGCTCGTTGACCGAATTACTCATGTCTACAACATCCTCGTGCAGTGCATGCCTCTCGCTAATACCACCTTGTTCAGGAAATGTTTGTCTTCTTTCAATGGCTTCTACAGTAACTGCAGCACCACTGTTTCCAGCGATAATGTTCTTGTCAAGATTTTCTGCGTTTTCAAAGCTCTCGCTAATAACACCTTGCTCGGAATTTGTCTTAGTTTTCTCGTTTGCTGCTACAGCAACCAAAACGTCATTATTTACCGCGACGATCGCCTTTTCGTGATTTTCCACACTGTCAAAACTTTCGTCAATGTTGCCTCGCTCATCAGATATACAACCTATTTCTATCAAAGCACCCGAAGTTCCAGGTTTCACAGCAATGCTCGGCTCTTTCGCCATATTTTCCATTGTTTCAATACCGTTCATCGCTTGGCTTTGTTCATCCAGTCCATCTGAGTTTTGTTTGTAACTGTAAACTTCAACAGTTACAGAATGTGCATTTGGAGATCCGGGAGAGTCTGTTTGTATCCGTGGGTTTGTATTGTCGCACATTTTATCGATGGATTCACTGCAGACCTCACTACCTTCGTCGTGTGGAGCGATTTCTCCAACCAATGTATTTTCCTCACTGAGCGGATCGCCTGCAATGCTCGTCGAACCAGCCGATTGCAAATCGCCACCTTCGCTTATCCGCTTATGCCGCGAGCTAAGATGAGGATGAAACATCAATGGATTTTGGAGTTGTTCTTGAGCGCCTCGAAAGCGTTCAATAGCGGTTTGAGGATTTCTTTCGTCGATATTGTAGACCTTCAACTCTCCTACGTCTTGTAAAAGACAGAGAGTGGATTCGGAAACCATGTATATCCTGGGTTGTAAACATATCGTTTCGTGCGTCGGTGACGAATTTATGATCACAGCGTGCGAAGGGCTGCAACCCATTTTTTTTTCCTCACGTTTTGAGACTTTCCACGACTTTTTCCTTCCTACAGACCCCACGACTGTTTAATTTCCATAAGCTGAAGTAGCTTTTAAAAAAGCCAGCTTTCCAGCGCGTTCTACCAATCAAGAGTCAAATTAAAACAATCTACTTTCCTTGTCCGCTGATCTATTCAAATAAGCATCCTGTGCCAATAGCCTTTAGCCAGCTGTCTTGATGAAAACATCGCCGTCATGAAATAAGTTTATTTCTGTTGTTTTTATTCTACAGTCCTACCTGCTGCAGACAGCTTTTGGACTAATATGCCTTGTTTTTCAGTTTCACGGACTGATTAGGAGGGTTTTAAAACAGCAGGAGGGCAGTGAAAAAAACGAACAGTTCGATGTTTTTCAAGGTAGAACATGACAAACAATGAAAGCAAAACTCAACCGTAATAAATTTCAAAATAATTGTGCTGTGTCCTCAACGACTTTGTGCAAAAAAAAATAAAACGTGCTTTAAGGAGAGGAAACAATACTTCCATTAAATAAAAATGTTTTAAAATTGCAGTAAAAGAAAAATTGCTCTAGGTTACAATTTTAAACGTCAAAAAACCCTTTCGCTAAATTTAGTTTTCCTCATTAACATGAACATTTCTTGGTCGTAATATAAGTTAAATAAAACCTTTCAATCTTGTGCTGCCGAAAAAAATGAAAGCTAAAATAAAAGAGCAATAATTTCAGTGCGCTTGGAACAATGCCATGCCTTGCTGTCGCAACTCATAATAATAAAAAAAAAATTGTCACTTCTTTTTCTTAATTTCCAAAACCTTTCAAAGGCTTATCGATTGAAGTCGTTTCAATTTGCAGGTGCAAAAATTGTTTACAACGTACTATTTACATGTTACCTCCAGTTGAAGAAATATTAGGCATTAGACAGCCTTGTTCAAAAACATGCCTCATTTTACAAAAACAGAACATTGCTGTCGATTTCGAATAGTAAAAGGCATTTGGTTTTGTGTAAAATTCGACCCGGTTGAAAAACAATTCTCACCGATTCGTCACAATATTTCATCTCTTCAAAACGAATTACACTTCCACAAGCGTATTTTCTTACCGTTATAAATATATTCCTGCGGAAAAAATTCCGCTTAGTACAAGAACAAACTAGAACTATTCGAAATTTTTTGAAGATGACAAAATGTTTAAAAAGGCAAAAAATTATCGAGCAATAATTTGTGACGCATTGTGAAGCCGGAAATTTCAAATTGTCATGTCCAAAATAATTAAAGTTTGACGAGACAATATCTTTTAGGATTTTAGTGAGGAACTCGATGAAAATTGATTGTTTACTTGAAAAAAATTAGAGAATTACTTTCACCATTTTGAACACCACGATATTGTAAAAGCTTTATCACAGTATTCTCGATTTCTAAAACGCTCATTTAAATTTATTATAGAATCAATATTTGAATGGGTTACTGAAGGGGCTGATCATGATCTGTACATTTTGCTAAATTATTCAAGCATCATTACAGTTGTTACTTATTTATTGTTAACGGCCTTTGCAATTAAGCTTCAAGGGATTCTGCTATTTCAGAACCTTGATGGTTCCATTTACTCTACATTTTAAATATTTCCTTACACTAAAAATAGGGAAACTGAAAAATGTTATCGAGAATCTTGGTCTGCAACATTAGACAGTTTTTTGATGAGTATAAAACAGAGGAAGGGGTAGGTGGTGTTTAAGATCAAGTAACAAAAAAAATTCGACGTTTTTTTCCGAATTTGTTGATTATCCTTGATATGCAAAACAACTCCCGCGAAAGATGAGAAATATGATGACAAAACGCCAGAAAAAAAAACTCTCCAAGGAAGAAGGCAGGCGACCAAGAATCTTTTTTTTATGTCCGTGCTTTTAGCAGTAGGTGGTACCTTCTCAGATTTTTTTAAGTGAAATGTCCCAAGCAAGTGGAGGTTGTAACTCAAACAACAAAAGAAGACACGGCGTTTACGATCTTGCTCATGTCCTGTACTTCAAAAATGTTCCCGCGAGACAGAGTTTATCCTTTATCTGCAAGCTAAAACTTCCGGACAATTTTCATGCAATACAGTATGCAAGTGTTAAGGTTTTAGAAATGAAAAATTGAAATCGAAAGGAAAGAGAAAAAAAGAAAAGCTCCACACTCAAGTGTACTTAGTCAAGCTTGGGAAAACTTCGGTATGCACATTTTGTTCTCTTTCCATTGTCTTTTCCAATCACCAGTGGAACCGATGACCTCCCTTACTTTCAGCTCACCATGTAATTCACGCTACCTGACACTTCTTTATCAGGAGAACAATCGGCAAAAGCGCAGTTAGTACAACTGAATGTGAAATCACTTTCTTCTGTAAGAACTGGAGGGAAATTTAAAATCATTGAAAAGAAATAAGCGAAGCCAGTCAGTAAATTTGAGACAGTAATGTCTTTCTGCTTTTCTTTCCCTCACTGGAACTTTTCATTAAGATGAGTTCAGTAGCATTTAACTTTTGTCTATTTGTTTCTGATTATTTAGACTCTTTTTGAGTCTTTTTTTTTTGCAAAATCTCTGTGTTGGCGTGTAGAGTGGTATGTTGCTCGCACCAATCAGATCGCTGCATTGGGGTATGTATCTCGCACCAATCATATCAGAGCATTTTGATATCTTGCACCAATCACAGCAATTGAGTATTGTTTTCTTGTAAATGTCATGTAATCAGGGGGCTCATTTGATAAGTGCCATGGTAGTGGCCTTCGCGAGAGCCTCATCGATTAAGTTGAGATCCATCGGAATACGAAAGGTTCGCATCATTTGTATCATCACTAAGTTAAAAAAGGTGTTTTTTGGCTCCTTTACTTTTTTCGCTCCTTTACTCACAACTCACACACCAAACAACTTACATTGCATTACGTAACATGAAAAAAAAACACGTCCAAAGTCCAATCAGAACATACACAATCCTTGCACTATATGAACATAAGGCAATTTTTCATGTGCTTGAATTGTATTCCACCAATCAAATTCCCTTTTGCCAAATTGGACTTCGCTGTGTTCAATCACGTATTATAACCGCATTGTCCAACCCCACTGAAAAAAATTCACACGGAAGTTAATGCCACTGATAGTGAATTTTTTCCGCGCAATTCTCCCGCGTTTTGACTTTTCTACGAATAAAATTCGCTCTTAGCTACCTGGGTAAAGGATGCAGAGCTTCTTAGAATGAAAAGCCGCAAAAATAATTAAAAATCCATATTTATTTGAAGAATTTTGGACTTTACATCGATATTATGCTACAGTCAACGGATCAATAGGAAAAAAAAATCACTAACTTTACCTTAAAGCAATATCATGAAAAAAGCGAGCTTGGATGCAATTGAGTCCCAGGAATATTATCACAGTTTTCTGTCAGGATCTCTTGCTGTCTTCAAAAATGTCCATGAAATCAAATTCATTTTAAAACGATGTTTGCTGTGAGGCCATGTTAATGAAAATGATCTTTAACCTCAAGCTGTTAGAACTAAAGTTCACAAAAAATGGATTTAACCGTGGTCTTATTATGAAAGTAGGTGTAAATAGAACACAGAACGCTGCCCAGGATTCCACGCCAATATGGTTGAAATTTCATAAGATAAACAGAAAAAAGCTCTTTGCCTGAACCACGAAAAACAAATCCTGCTTACAATCTTTAAATCAAGTTCAGAATAGCCACCTTAACATACACAAATTTGGTTTTCTTTGACTCTTTACAGATAAACTAAAAGTACTTCTCTTGACTACGAAATCCGTAATCCCCTTCATAGTCGCCCCGCAGCAAGCTGTGCGTGACAAGATCAGATGAAGAGAAATTCGAGCGTGGAACCCGACCAACATCGTCATTCCATTCTGATTCCCAACTTCAATCCACAATTACCGCATAGACTTACATCAAGATTTGGACCAGCCGATGAACATAAGCAAATATTCATAAACATAGGTAGTTAATCCCTTTTTTACGTCGCATGACAAAATATCACATAGTGACAAACGCGAAAATACTAATCAGTAGGTGGTTCTCCCAGCCACTAACCCCCTTAGGTAACGCAACATCTTCTGGGTGGAAAACGTACAGAACCTCGATTAAGCGTGAATTAAACGGTTGCAACAAGGTTACACTGCAATAGAACTAGCCCGGTAAAATTCTTAAATGAACCTAACTAGGTATTGTGTTTTTCTTCTACATATTTCCTTGACCACACGATATTTGGCAAAGATTTAACCAAGGAGATTGGGAACCAGGTAAGTTCTAGTCCGACGAACTCTTCAGACTTCTCTTCCATGAATTCTTCGCAATGGTATTGAATGAACATTGCAGCAAGATTTGATTTCGTTTACGTGAGTCAATGAAAGTGACATAGAAGGCTTCACGTCTCATTTCAAACCAATCATCGCGGCTTTCATAAGTGAAAAGAAAGAGATCTTGGGCAACCTCGTTTTCATTTTCATCCACATTCCTGCACGGCACATAGTGGCACCTCTCTAGAAACACACCTTGCTCTAGGAACACTAACTTTGGTCCAATAAAGGGACGCCTGTATTCATGGAACATTTATGATGGTCCTTCGGGCCTCCCCTAAATAAGAGATCCATTATAATCAATCATGTTGTCAGTTTGTCTGGCAGCACTCTTTCAATTTTACTTGTTATACTACTTATTTAACTAAAAATTATCTACTGGGCAATAAATTTCATATCTTTATCTCTTCGTATGAAGGCGAGTCTTCGTCTTGTGATTCTTTCTTGATCTGCACATGGGCTACGGTGCTTTCAAAGTGCTTTCTTATCAGCTCCGTTTCGTCTGTTCCTTCTAAACCAGGAAGGTCCTCACGTATTTTCTCCAGCAACTGATTTATCACCGTAACCGTTACCTGATATTTGGAGAAAGAAAGAATACGTCACGATGACAACCCTTGATATTACTGTCCAGGGACTTCTTTGTTCGTTAACGCAACATCTTTCATTTTAAATCTAGTTACGCGACTTCTCTCCTTTCCCAGTTCCCTCCAATAAAATCCTGATTTGCCACGATATCTAGACTTCATTTTGTAATGACTTATAACAATCCTGTTAAGGGGGGCACGTAGAAAACATGATCGTTGCGTTCTGAGCTTTTTTAAGTTTATAACTTTGCTTTGTGTAGTCAGACGTAAACCCAGAAACCTACAGATTTTTCTCATGTTGCAATTCGTTCCTACCCTACTTATCATCCGTAGTTGAAAATGCTGAGGATCAAATCAAGGGACTTCCTCACTATTTCTTTGAAATAGCTTAGCTAGTTCTTTTATACACCCCTTCGAAGTAGCACACTTTCTTTCCTTTTAGGTTCGTGTGCGTTTCCCCCTAGATTAAGTAGGGAGTGACACGCACGCCAGAGATATGACGCACAGGTACGCGGGGAGAACGCTCAATCTAACATTTGTGCGCATTTTCCTCACTTGCGCGTATTGGTCTGAATCAAATCGAGTGCATGCATTGCTTCAATTGTCTATTAGTTCGCACGTCTGTCCTTACAATAGCTGCCATCCATGGAAGCGAATGAGTCTTTCGTAACTATAATAACGTTTTTAAACATGAGCTAAAAATTTGATTGGTTTATTACCGTGTCTGCTTTCTGTTCAAAATAGTAGAGGTAGCGATTGAGTACTTCCACAAACAGCTGCACCTGAATGGTGCTGTCCATGCATTGATTGGCAATTCGAACTGCTTTCTTCAGACACTCTGTGACTCGCTTGCTGTCTCGACACTGAAAAAGAAACAAAAAACGCTATTTCAAAAGCCCCAAATCAGGATCATGGTAACAATCACACGAAATAAGTCCTAACTCTTAAACCAGGAGTCCTACTGCAGCGGATCTTATCCCGGTTTCATTCGCATAAAGTTAACACGAATCGTGTTAGAGCGCGACAAATACCCTTACCTCTCCCCCGTCAGCTTCGCGGCTTTTTCCAGACCAGAACAAGTGTGAACACACCACAACTGCTCTGCACTGATCCGGTTTCTTGAGTAGTTTGGAGGCAGCTAGAGCACACTGAGTGCGCAGGGGTTCATGGTTTTCCTCGCCGAAACAGCTCATCTTTTCGAATGTGCTGATTAGCAAGGTAATGGCGGCCAGCTGGGCTTTGGAATCACTAATTTCATCCTCATATATTGCGAAAGCCTGAAAATATAGACGGAAAAAGGTGAGGAACGAAAAGTCAACGGGCTGAGAAATGAAATCTAATCATCTAAAATTCGGTACTCACAATAATCGTTCAGAATTTGTGCAAGGAACGCCCAAAGAAAAATATGCAATGGCCACTCAACATTAATTAAACACCACCTCTTACAGAGAGTCATTTCTGATTTCGGTGCAGTTTTCGGCATCTCTCAAGCCTTCCCTCGCACAATTTTTCATAGAAGGGAGCTTGAGCACAAAAGTTTTTAAGACACGGACGGCAATTGGGAGTTATGAAATATTGATATTTTCCCTGGCCCGTCCCTCAGGTCTCATTTCTAACGCATTTCAAATTAAAATTTCAAAGTGCGCAAGAAGTCTTATTCTCTTTCCCGTGGCTGGTAGTGTCGCAAAACCTCTTTGATTATGTTCCCTTATCCTTTCGTATTCCTATACATCCTCCATGTACGGGACGAGGGCGAAAAGAGGTCAGCAATCTCTCGAAAAGGAACGGTAGAAAAGACACAAATATCTTTGTAACTACAGAATCATAAATAACGTAAAAATGAACGAACCTGGCTCATGAATTCATAAGCGACTGTTTCAGCATTAGAAAAGCCCGCTTGGTCAGCCACAAGTGCACCTTGGAGGAAGAGCCTGAGAGACAACTCGGCGTATTCTGCTTTGGCGAGGGCTGCTATCGTCTGATGGCAAAATTGAAAAATCTTCTGGCACTTTTTGTCCCATTTATCGTCCTAGAAAAATACACACGCAGATAAATAAATAAATAAGTAAATAGACAGCAAAGCGCACACTTCACACAAAGCTGCAATGTTTTCCTTCACAGAAAAATGGTTTGAGCAAAATTTCTCAATTCAAGGAACTAAATATTGCCGTAGGTCTACCCTTTGCAGCCAGCTACCTCGACTCTTTTCAAATCAATATATTTGCTACTTCTGTAGGCCAGTGAAAAACTTAAAAAAGCAGAAGAGATTTACCTCGTCTTGTGCATCTCTGTACTGGTAGGCAAGCTGAAATGCTGAGAAGACAATTGGAGGTAGAGTGAACTTAATCCTCTTCTCTCCACCGCTTCCAAAATGTTTCCTTGCTGCATTGAGAATCTAGCACAATTGCAGACAAAACAAATCAGGAAATTGCTGACAGCAGGTGAAAGCTAAAAGCTGACACTAAACTCCTATTAATTATAAGTGAGAGTGAGTGCTACTTTCATAAAACGAAAAAACTGAAATTTTTGGCTACTTTTTGTCCTGGACCTACAAATTACCATCTCAGTGTCAATTACTCCCTCTGAGACCAGAAAAGTGCTTTACCGGCTTTGTGTGACATGTTCTGGATTGTGTGACAAAATGCCCCATAAATGCACATAACATTTAAGTGTCAGGAACAAAGAACAAAAAACTCACCAGATACTGTTGATCAGGACTGTCACCTCTCAGCAATGTCACAAATTTTCCCATTAGACTCTGTTCCTCAATAAAATCCTCAGGATCATCCTGCATGAGATAGACATAAAAACAAATTGAAGGTCATTGCCTTGTATCAAATTGCTCATCCACTCTGTACTAAAAAATTTCCCACAAAATTACTATTTAAATACCAGTGAAAACCAAGGCAGCTATCCATCGAACAAGTCAAGTCCATATACAAGAATAACTCAGAGAGTTGCCGCAACCCATTCCAGTTTCTGTAGCATGACACATAAATATTTTACCTCTCCTCTGGGCTGGGATGACAGTCCATTGAAAAGTACCCACCACATTTCATCAGATTTCCCTTAAAGATTCCCCCCTACCAATTTCTTTTCCCAGATGGAGAAAGGTAGTGTTTAAGTTCACTGTCTAACCCAAAAACAGAAAAATATTATAAACAATTCCGCTTAGGGTTTGAAACCCAAACTTTGATCCAGAGTCCAATTCACTTTTTATTAAGACACTGCATTGTTTACATGAGAGGTTCTCAGTAGTGAAGTACTCACTTGTTCAGAGGGTTGGTCTTCTTGGTCGCAAACCAATGTGGAGACAAGGTTCAGCACTGAGTCAACCTGAGATAAAGAGATACAAACATGAATTCTCCGAACTCAATGTATCAGATTCCTTTCAAGTCAGTTTTGAGAATTTATTAATTCATTAGAATTTCCTAGAGTACAACCAGAAAATATATAGGCAAATGGAAAAAAAAAGACAACAGAACATAACATCCATTCAGAGAGACGACCAGATCCTCAGGAAATTCACAGAAGTTAACTTGACTATTCTTGTTCCACTCCTGCATAACTTGCCCTAACACATCACAAGCTACTGTCTAGCAACAACTTCATCAGTTTTCCTTCAAAACATGCCTCTACCATTTATAACCCACACAAAGAGAGGCATTGCATGAAGAAAATGTCTTTTCCAGGAGAGTGCACAATAGCCTGGAATTGAACAAGCACTTCCCAAATCCAGAATCTAGTATGCTTACTAGTAGACAACTACACAGAAGTCGTACTTCTATCATAAATGACAGTTTTTCACTCACCTGCTCTTGGGTGGGGATTGTGATTGCACTTTCTACAGCATTGGTAATCACATAAAGTGACATCTCTTTCCTTGAGCTGAAATCAAAGTATTTAAACAATGGAGCAAAGTATTCCAGCTGAAGAAGTGTGAGAATGTTGCTGTAGGAATCAACAGGGATCTTCAGAAGTCTTGTCAGTTCCTTTGAAACTGCATTGTTCTTGTCCATACTGGAAATAAGAAAAAGGAAAAACTTCTCACATGGCTGTCACAAGATGTACATGTATAAAATGTAACAGAGCAGATTTGTTATCAAAAGCAAACTTAAATGAAAACATTGCAGTAGAAAAATAATTTTCAAAAAATGAAAAAAAAAGAAGGCTCCAACACCAGCTGCATTTCAGTCCAATTCCAAAACTCACCTTTATGAGACTTTCTTAAAAAAAATAGTCATATTAATCAAAAAATAGTCATATTAAATGAGATAATCATACAGCAGGGATGATTGCTTTTTAAAAGGATCCAAATAAAGTGGCTAAAATGTTGTAGCAACATACATTTTAGGATGGAACTGTCATGGGTATGACTGAGATTTTAAAAAAGAGATTTTTTTTCTTTTTCTAATCAAAATCCTTACTTGCCTGGTTAATTTTTAATTACTTATGTAGGTATAAAGTAATCTACATAACAGAACATGCTTTTGTGGCTTACTGAGAGATATCAAGTTTGCTGAAAATCTCAGAGGTGTACTGTAGAACTTTGTCAACATAATCCACTCTCTCAGGGTAACACTTTAAGGCAAGGTTAATCAGGGATACTTGAAGAGAAACAATGTCTTCTGTTGGCATCTCACCACGTGCCTAAAAATAAAAGTTATGGAGTAACATGCAGAAGTTATACATCTATAAAATGTTACTTAATTTCTAGTTCCAGTAATATACTATTATTGCTGAATAGTCTAGTAGTGTAAAAACTCGCAGATAAGCTGTACCCTGAATTTAGCAGCTCAAAATTTGGAGAAAAAAGTTTTTTGAAAGAAATCAAAAGAAATCCAAAGTTGAGTCTTGAGAAGTCTTCTTCATCCACTGTTCATCGAACATAAACTCACAATTAACACCGCAACGGAAAATACTTCAAAATCTTACCCACAATTTTAGAATTTTATTATAATGAACATTGTTTCTACCAACTTTGACATATCATTGATCTTTTTCTGGTATTTGTTGACAGGAATTTCTTCATTCAACACAGTTTTTCCATAGATTTTTGCATTACAACAAGAATGTGAGCAGAACATTCAAAGCTTAGTTACCAGGCATTAGATTGAACACAAAAATGGACATTGGCGTCGGCATTTACGACACCTTTTTCAAATGCTCCTGCAGATAAGCTGCACCCCAATTTCTAGTGAAGAATTTTGGAAAAAAGCTGCGGCTTATATGCAGGTTTTTACGGTAATCTATGATAACTTAAAAAAAGTGTTATTTTGGTTTGGCACATGACCTAATGCTACACAGTATGTATCCATAACTTCTCTACAGATTAAAAAAAACAGGAGTCTATTTAGACAGTTAAAATATGGCTAAGAACCTTATTCTACAAAGTCTAGATTGCTTTTTAAATGCTGACAGATATTACTGATAAAATAACCTTGTGACTTTTTCTGAGAGAATAGCAAGGCTGTGTTAAAGTCACTTTCATCTTAATTTATTTCATTCATACTGAGATTTATACTTTGTTTTTGTCTCTGATTGGACGAATGGTGTATTTTCACAGTTGTTCACTTCCAATCTTTGAATTGAAAAGTGAAAAAATCTCAGTTTAAATGAAATAAAAATATCATGCCATGGAAATTGCTTGAATGGTTTTTATTCACTTGTTGCGATGCATCAAAAAACTAATTTGTTTGCTGCATTCACTCATTCCTTTTTTTGATGCATCACAACTCATGGATAAAAATCATTTGCACGCACTTTCCATGGACCAATCTCTATTTATCACATCATTTACCTGAACAACTGAAGAGACCTGTTCAGACATCACATCAAACAATCTTATATCACTTGGTATTCCGCCATCTTCTCTGTTTGCAAATAAAGCAAGTCTATCAATGAGTGATATGATGATGTTCTTGATGTTCACTCTTTCATGAAGATCAGCACAAGCATGGAGGAAACTGCTTAATGTCCTCAGGTGGAATTCATCCGGAAACACTTGAATAACACACTCCATGAGGTATTCCTGAGCGATTGGATCTCTGCAACTCACTATCTGCTCAAATACTCCTGGAAGGACATTCTAAAGAGGTAACAGTTACAAGGTTAATTTGGTGATTTCTACAGAGCATAAATGTAAAAATGACATTGGAGTATCCTAATAGTCAATCAATAAATATATCAGAGATCTGTGATATAAGGAAGTACAAGGTACCTCTTCTCTGTCTGAATGAGAAAATAGATGATAAATGTAGTCTGTCATGGCCTATTCCAAGTCACCATGTTGTCACCTCATTGGAGGTGCTGCTCATGTACAAAAATGTGCTAATCTCTGAATACTGATGCTAGGGTCTAAGGGATTAACAGTCAGATCTTGGGAGTTAAATGAGTTATCAGCAGCAGTAATTAGATAACCTTACTTTTTTGTAAGTGTCAACATTAACTCCATCAAGTTGACTCAGTCTGACAAGGTTAGTTCCCACAAGAATGCGCAGTTCTTGCCGCTCTCTCTCTCTTTTCTCTCGATCGCGGGTGTGGCCTTGGTGCTGTATCCGAACCCAAAGTTTATTCATCTCAGCAAAGTTTAGAAGCACAAAGGATATAGAATCCTTTACAGTGCCATCTTGGTGCTCAGAGTCAGCTCTGCAACCAAAAAATAAGCTATAAACACTCAAACCTTACATCATTTAAATTGAAACTCTAACTACATACATTCCCTTTACCTTAAGGTCAGTTTTACCAAACCCTTTTCTTGTTAGCAGTTTTTTTTTAACCATTCCTTGGAAAAGTCAAAGTTCTACTACTTGTTTTCCATACTTCCTGTAGACTGTACTGGCTTCTATCTTTTTCACTTTTCTTTCATAGGCTAAGCATGACTTAAGTATGAAAAAGCTAAATTTGTGCATAGCATGACAAAACCCTTTCAGGATATGTTAGTCAGAATAAATTGTACAATCTTAATCTGTACATCCATAAAGTGCTTCTCCTTATCCCCTCTTTCTAGGTCAACTTGGAATACAAATATCTCTTTTTTGGGGATGGAAAAAAACAGAGAACCAAAAGAAATCAAAATACTGTAATTTGCATGAAATTTAGTTAATTTTACCTTTTTCAAGATAGCTTTAAATCTCAGGTTTTAGACTGTTAGAAAAATGACCTGCAAGCTTTATAGCTTCAACAATTTTCATTTTAGAATAAAGGATTTGACTGATTGATTGACTGAAATACCCTCATGACAAAGAAAAGGAACCCAATCAAACCACATGTGAAGGAGGGGAATCCAACCTCTGCCACAGTCAAAAGTAGGGGGGCAAGTACTTTGCTGCTGCAACATTTCTGTTCTCCCAAAGTTTCAACCAACCAGACGTGATACATGTAGGTTTGTGAATTCTCCCTACATTTTTTATAATCTAACCTTTACACCCTAATATCAGTATGCAAGTTCTCTATGCTGTTCTCTGAATATTTCCAATGTAACTAGAATTTTTCTAACAATCGAGAACTTCTTGAGTTCACATTTATTTAATTTATTCTCAAAACCTTGATGTTTGATTCAGAGGTGATACAGTTGTGAGAAATTAAATGCACATCACTCTTTAGGGTTTCAGGGTTAACAAAGAACATTTGTATCTTACACTGGTTCCTCTTCTCCAGTATCTGGCAACATGTTCCTTGTTGACTGTAACAAGTAGTTACGAAGAAACAAGCCTCTCAGAGGGTGCTGAACACCTCTACACATTTCAACCAAGTCCTTCAAAATATCCCTGCGAGATGCTTCATTGGCCTTGATGTAAACAGCTCCAACAGTTATTAGCAAATACCTTACACAAAAAAAATATCAGAAAAGAAAGTTACTAAGGCAAACAGAGTTATGACTTTAAACCTTTTTATTCACAGATACATAAAAATTCTCATTATTATTTCAGTTTGTGCAGCACAGGATTGTTGTCAATTTTTTTTTCAGAGAACAGGACAATAAATCGCACAGAATAAGTGACAATATCCAACAAGAGACATGTTGTAGTTGACAATTATTTCATCATAAAATAGTTGTAAACGTATTTGATTTTCAGCACAATAAAGTAACTGGAGGAAAGGGAAGAACAAAGTAAACCTGACCTGACATTCATTTTTGACCATAAAATTCACATTATAGGTTGTCACATTACTAATTTATATGCTTCAAATTTGACAATTTCCTCAAGGTTAAAAATAATAGTGATCTTTAATATATCCATTTTGAAATTGCTGGTGATCCTTACAATCTGATTGGCTCTCAGAGGTGCAATTTATTCATCAATTGCACCAATTTTTTGCTCTAAATCACATATTTTTTCCCAGCCAATGACAAAACCTTTGTTTAAGAACAACAACCAATCAGGTTTCAAGCCTTGTTTAAAGTAACCAGTCATATTAGAAGGAAATAAAAGACAACTCTTGCAACCCTTTTACAAACCAGCTCTATACTGGATCAATAAATCATTTGTACAGACTAAAAAAATCCTGTATTTGGGCAACTTAATTTTGTATTTTCAAAATGGATGTACTAAAGTAGTAAACAAACTTTCCATTGAGCAATTTTTGTTTGAAATCATACTTGTGATTTCAAATCAAACTTGTGCTGCACACTTCTTCAATTTAGAAATCATGCATATGATTTCAGACCAAATTGCACTCCATGCAGTTCAATTACCATTTTCAAATCTACCTTAACGGCTTACTGGACTGGAAAAAAACCAATGCATGAGATATATCAGTCCCATATGTTGTACAAAGCATTATTGCAGTTTTGAAATACTTACAATCTTGGGACAATGTTTCCAGCATATTGAACAAGTTCATAGAGATCTGCCACTTTGCGGCCCTTCTGGAACTCGTCCACAAGGAAAAGTTCAAGATGCCGCAGCTCATCAGATATTGCCATATCTTGATATTTGTTAAGGATTTCACTTAGTTGCTCTTCACAGAGTAGTTTCAAGAGCAGTAAAACTGTTAAGGGGAGAGGAGACCAAAGTAATTTAGAAGCCCATAGACATCTGTAATTCCTTAAGACAGGTCATGTCTTAGAAGATACTTGCAAGAAGGCGATCAAAAAGGCTGCAAGGAGGCACATTAGAAAGGCACTTCCCAAGCCATTTGAGAATAAAATCCATGCAAAAATCACATGAACCATCAATTTAAATAATATTTCTGAAAGCTAAATTAAAAAATTATCACTATTCTAATCTGTTCAAGATCAATCAAGACAACCAACTGGGTGGAAAAAGAAATGCACAGAAATAATTAAAAAAAATTTCTACAAACCCAACAACTCCCCAAAAGTGAAAATAATACAATGCTTTCTCCAACAGTAGTCTACCAAATACAGCTGTGATCAATAGTTAATATTAAGACAACATCATGTAAATCTGACGATGAGAGGAAAAAATCTTTCTAACAAGTAAACACAGCGAAGGCTTCTACAACAGACTTATAAAAAGAGAGACACCTTGCTCTCGGGAAACACTTAACATCCAAAGGTTCGAGGAGACCAAGATAACAATAAAAGAACTGATCAAATTAACACATCAACTCATAAAATTCCCGCGAACGATTAGAAAAACTTCAATTAATAACAGACATTTAATCCGGACATAAATTAGTAAAATATGAATCGTTTAGAAATAAGGCCAAGTGTTGACATGTTAAATCTCGCATCAGTTTACATAGGAAGCTTGTCAGTACCCAGCACAAAAAGGATACACAACTCGTAGTAACTCTTTGGTGACAGCATCGACGTTCGCAATTCGCTTAGCATATTTGATGCGTGTTTCAAGCCATCCATAAGCTTTGCCTTGTCCTGCATTTGTGAGTTCAAAATTGGTAAAAGAGAAAAAAAACAAAAACAAAAGAAAGGTGGTATTTCCGATAAGGATCGACACCTACCAAACATCGTTTCATCTGAAATGACTGAGACTTCACAACTTGAATGGCCTCATCCAAGAGTTTTTCCTGATCCTCTAGCGAAGCTGCTGCAGTCACCGGCTACAAAAAGAATCAAATTTAATACGCACGTTTAATTTGAGAGTGTGTTCCATAATTAAAGCAAAAAATCGCTGACGAAACTAACCATCTTCGCCAAATTCTGCCGATCGTACTCTGGAGCATGCAAGGAAGTAGCACGTGACCGCGACTACTGGGGGACACCTCCTGGTACTTAGACCTCTCCGAGTATTTCCGAAAGAATACGAATGTTTGGCGGCAAAGTTGCGAAGACACGAGGCAAACGTTGTACCTTTTGCCGGGTTTAAGTCTGATTTTTTTGCCGGGAGTAAGTAAGATTACGTATCAACAACGTTGTTAACACTCAACAGAGACGTTCGTGAAGTGAATTTTTCAACAAACTTTGCCAAACCAAGTTTAATCACTTTGTTCACCTGCACCTGTTTATGAAAAATTATGGCGAATTGCTCGCGTGGACATGTGTTGACCAAAGTGCTCTTTTCCTGCTTTTTGGGAGCAGTTATGGACGCCTTAATATCTGGTGTGTTGCTAATTCATGGAAAGTACTTTTCTAGTTTTAATACCCATTCGCAAATGGAAGAATTCAAATTTTGTTCATCGGTTTTTGATTTGTGGGTTTTGTCTTTGGTACGCTGTTGTACTTTACTTGGTGCCGTCTTTGGAGTACTGTTTTCTAAACGCAAAATGGAAGCAGTTTCTAGAATAACTGCATTTAAGAAACCTTGGCTTTATTACAGTGTTGGAGTTGTTGTCTTCGTTGTAACCAAATTCCTTGTGAGCACGGAATGTAACTTGGACAGAACATCGAAGATTTGGTTTTTGTCATTCCTGGGATGGACTGTAGTTGGCACAGTGATTACAAATGGTCTGTGGCATTTCCTCTCTAAAATCAAAATTACGGCCTTATCTTCAGAACAAGAAACTGGTTCGATACAAGGAAGAGAGGGTCTCCTCACTTTTCACGACTTTCAAGATTCAGAAGAGAGTGGCACCAATGGGAAGAAAAACAATATTTCTGCTTGGAGACTGATGTCTTATTGCAAGCCAGACATCCCCTACATTTCTTTTGCATCTGTTTTCCTCTTACTTGCAGCAACTGGTGAAATATTCATTCCATATTATACAGGACAGGTCATAGATGCCATTGCCATCGATAAGGACAAGACCAAGTTTATGAATGCTATTCTCATTATGACCCTCATATCACTTGGCACAGCAATTTCGGCAGGCTTGCGTGGTGGGCTGTTCAACTTGATTGCAGCAAGATTTACCAGGAGAATCAATAATGTTTTATTTGGTTCTATTGTGACACAAGAAATTGGATTCTTTGATAGTACAAAGACAGGAGATATTGTCTCACGTCTGAGCTCAGACACTACAAAGATGTCCGATCAAGTTGGATTAAACATCAATGTGTTTCTGCGTAACTGTGTCCAGTCCATTGGTACATGTGTTTTTATGTTCAAACTCTCTTGGAAGTTAACTACTGTAACTCTGGTTGGCTTGCCCTTGGTTGCATTTATCTCAGACATTTATGGAGACTACTACAAGAAGTTGGCAACAGAAGTTCAAGAAGAAACTGCGAAGGCAAATGAAATTGCAGCAGAAGTTGTATCTTCTATGAAGACTGTTCGCAGTTTTGCAAATGAAGATGGTGAATATGAGCAATATAGGAACAAACAAGATGCAATATATAAACTTAAAGTCAAGGAGTCTTATTTGTATGGAGGATATCGATGGTGCACTGAAATCCTTTCCCTTGCCATCGACGTCATTGTTCTACTCTATGGAGGTCATTTAGTAATGAAGGGAGAACTGAGTGGTGGATATTTAGTATCTTTCATTTTGTATCTACTTCAGCTTAGCTTTTATATAGATGAAGTAGGAGAGATATATACAGGTCTTATGGAGGCTGTTGGTGCCTCTCAGAAAGTATTTGAACTCATTGACCGAGAACCCAAAATTCAGAACAGTGGCATTGTGACTCCTAATGAAGTTTCAGGTGAAATTGAATTTCAGAATGTTTCCTTTGCATACCCCACAAGACCAGATATTACAGTCTTGGATAGTGTGTCGTTTAGCGTCAAACCAGGTGAAGTGATTGCTTTAGTTGGTCCTAGTGGCGGTGGAAAGAGCACCTGCATCAGTCTTCTAGAACACTTTTATGAGCCAACTTCAGGTGAAGTTTTGATTGATTCAATCCCAGTGAAGAATTTTGACCACAAATATTTGCACAACAAAGTGGCTCTGGTAGGTCAGGAACCTGTACTGTTTGCTAGGTCAGTCAAGGAAAACATTACATATGGTCTTGGTAATGATGTTGAGATTGACCAAAGCTTAGTTGAAAATGTGTCCAAACTTTCCAATGCACATGCTTTTATCAATGATTTGCCAGAGGGATATGATACAGAAACTGGTGAAAAGGGCTTGCAGTTATCGGGTGGTCAAAAGCAAAGAGTTGCTATTGCTAGAGCATTAGCTCGTAATCCTCGAATCCTCTTGCTGGATGAAGCTACAAGTGCTTTAGATGCAGAAAGTGAGCATCTTGTCCAGGATGCAATTTACAAGAATTTGACTGGCCACACAGTATTGATAGTGGCCCATCGTTTGAGTACTATCGAGAAAGCTGACAAAATTGTTGTTATTGACCAGGGTCAAGTTATTGCTCAAGGAAAGCATGAAGAGCTAGTCCACCAAAATGGACTCTACGCAAAGCTTGTGAGCCGCCAAATGTTAGGGCTTGAAAGAAGGAATTCTTCAACTGATGATACACTGCATGTTGGGTTCAAACATGTAGATCAGAATGATTCAGAGAGCCGTAATGGAAGCAGTTCCTCCTATTCTTCTAGTCCACACTTCTCAGCTTTGTCTAGAAAGTGACCTTGTGAGCCTGTAAAGGGACTTCAGCAACATTTATTTTGGGTTAACTTTCAAATTTAACTCGGAAGATCTGCTCATTAATTATCTCCACTTGCCACTACAAATTTCTTGGTCCATAACTTACAAGAATTTGGTGTTAGATCAAGATAACAACCTCTAAGTAATAATTTTGAGTATTCTCATTACCTGTCTTCTGGATGATGCATGGATATTATAGGGAGAAGTTACATATTAAAAGGGAAGAGTTTGAAAGGAAGGAAACCTTAAAATTATAAATTTGGTTTGTCAGGATAGATATTGGTAATGGCATAAATTTGTTGAAAGATGTGTCAATGAGTCCTGACAGCATTTTTAAATGCACGCAAGTCAGATTTTGTGAGTTGCAATATTGAATAGAGAGCATGAAAAGTTAAGTAGCATTTTATTTTTATCAAATGCAGTTTGCAGAAAGTGTTTATATGGTGAATCAATTTGCTTTGAAAGATTCAGATTGAGTGTTTAGTATGAGTTTCGAGTCTCTTTTGAGGAATATTGTATAGAAATTGAACACTCATTCTGACATGTTATAATCAACACCCTCTGCATCTTAGAATTTATTTTAATCAACTGTATCTTAAATTTCACACAGATAAACTCACACTTACCTGTACTCTGACCCACAAAATGATTACACAGAGTTGTTGAAACATTATACAATTTTTTCATGATTGAATATCATTTGGTTGTTTGCAGAAAACCTCCTTTTTTAAAAGCAAAAATAATGGTTGAATGGGAAGAAGATCAAAATGAATTACCTATGATGACAGGAATTACACAGGCTAATTTTTGAAGATGTATAGGCTATAACAGGCTCCTGTAATGGTTATAATGGTGATGAAAATTACCTTCCCATAACATCTTGTGGTGCATGTTGACACGCCAACCTGAGAAATGAACATCTGTCAACAATATTTTTGATAAAAAATCACTTAAACATTTTGCAGAGAGGAACAAAGCCATAATTTTGAAAGCCATCTGCAGTTTAATTGTAATTGCTTAATCAATATATGTTAAAGAATGTTATTTTAACTATTTTGTGAGTTTAAGATGTGACTCTTAGTCCACTGTTACAGTTTAAATAAGTTATATATTTTAAAGTTCTGTGACAAGAATAAAGTTTGCCTCAGTCCCCAGCAAAGGCTTCCCGGTATGAATAATCTTGTACCCAGCTCCTAAAAAGTAGAAAGTAGACATATGGTGAAATGTTATCTGCCATCTCACTGGCTGTTCTTTTTGCTCTGTGCCAGGTCTTAAACCTCGGTTTTTCTATATTTATTGGCCCTTAGTTGTATGAGATGACACTCCGAGAGAGACATGGTTATTTACTGCCGAACATTCATTTTGGAAAAGATTTCAAACAGTATAGAGTAACCTTCCCTTTGACTCTTCTCTTTTTTCCTCGCCAAGTGTAAGTTTGGAGAACGGCAGTCTCACCGCATCTGTTTTTCTAGCAAGAAAGAAAACTTAGAGGCAACTAAATTTTGATTCGGCATTTTGTGTGCCAGTAAGCCATAAAATGGACAGACTCCGCGTTTTACCCTCCCCTTCCTGATAAGAAATTAATCTCAACTGATAGCCTGCTTTAATACCCCTCAAAGATTCAAACTTGTGCAAAGTGCATGACGACAGATGGGTGAAATTAGGACAAATTTTCTTAATCACAATATTTCCGGTCTTTTTTCAGTGCCGGACAGAAAGAAAAACAATAGCTCAAGTAACCTATTTGTTCGCCGCGATCGGTGTCTAAGTAACCATTCTAAGCCGTTGTGGACTGGGTCGCATTATGAGTCACGTGACAGGAATATTGTTTCGAGCGCTTACTTTCAAATCGACTTCGTAAGTGAACGGTTCGAAGGTGAAATTTTTCAAGGCGATATTTTCACACAAAGGAATATTCAGCGTTCTTCAACACCCTAATGATATAAAGTTCCATACTTAAAATGGACCCATTTACTCAGGTAATTTCTTCAACTCTTTGTTTGCTTGCGTTTTGAGGAACACTCGTAAATCGAGAAACTCAAGCGAAACTTGTCGTTAAAAATACTTCAAGGGTACGCAGCTGGGGTCTTGTTCATGTCCAATGTTTTGTTTCTGTGAATGATAATAATGTACTTGTCGTTGGTTAGTTGAAACTTAAATAGATTGAAATTGGGTGCAAGAGCTTAATTTTTCGCCTAAACAGGCGAACAGATGCTTTGAATCTTACCACGTCGCTGTTGTACTGTAATAAAGCTTAAAATTAGTCTCTA